AAAATGTGAGCAAAGGAGCTACTAAGATGAGTATCTGATGTGAATGGGCCATTAGTAGAAATAAATGCATCAGCAAATGTGATAAAGTCAAACCCTCTACGGAACAAAATGTGACACAGAAATGTGAAAGTGACTCAACTAGTTTAAGTCTGGCAATCGTCACAGTTAGTCCGGTGAGGCGAATCTCAACCTTGATTCACAGAGCCTTACATATATTTACATATGCTTAAATTAAAATAAGTTATTTCATATGCACAAATTTAAGCATGAACTGAGATTTCATTTACTTCATTGGAATTTATAGAAGATAGAAGGTTAAATACATGATAGACTGCCTTTCCCAACTAAGGATTTATTTTTTCTAAATTGGGCCCCTCTCTTCTGAGTTGGGGCCCTTCCATTAGTAAACACCAATTATTTAAAATGTCTATAAATATTGCGATCTCGGGAAGATTGTTGGATTTGGAAAGACTGGAAAGATAGTTGACAAGAATTTGACTTGATAATACTTATTTGGGATAGTTTGGGGGTGTAAATTGAAACAGTAAGGAAACGTGACAGCCATCAACCAGTACTTCCTCACCATGAACTAATGTGGCAAATCAGCCATTTTTAGGAAGTGATATAAATCTCAGTGCTTTGGATTTTAGGAGTAGAAACCTAGAAAGCATGCTGTTACAGGTTGTCTCACATTTTATCTTGCATTTATAAGGCAAAATGACCAAAAGTCATAAAGACATCTTTCACCTCTACCATTTTATGATTGTAAATTATGAGGTACAAAGCTTACTGATTATGCCCACCTGTATCACTAAGTCAGGAACAAGGACAGGACGGACAAGATCATTTTAAGGTACAAGGCACAATTTACTGGTTTGCAGGTCGTGGTCTTTGTGTATTTATTTTAGCTCTTGTAAGAAAGGGACCAGAAGCTTGTGACCGGTGAACAAGCTTTGCGTGCTTGGTGACAGCAGGTCGCCGGCTTTCCACCGCTTCCTAATCCAGAAGTGCCTCGGATGCTTTGTGGTAGCTGTTAAACAAGCGTTAAGTTACAGACTACCACCTTAAAGGCAGGAGCTTCACATATACTTGAATAATACACTAGCCTGGAAATTGTGCTGGTTCAGCTGCTGCCTCACAAGCAGCTGAGCTGTCCGTGTGGTAGCAGCAGATGTTTCAAAGCAGGTGTCAAGCAGACAATTACGGGTGGCAACCACTGAAGGCCCTCCCAGAGTAGCATTTCCACTTGAGAGCTAAAGCCTCAAAGGAGCTATAAAATAACCTCGTTAATTTGACACTTGATAATGCAAACAACTCAAAAATCCCACTCCAAATTATATGTCTCTGGCTGGCTCACAGCCAGAATTTCTCATCCAATTTCAGCACATTAAGATTTTATTATCTTTAGGGGACCTTCTGCCGAACGTTTTGGGGGTATATAGTTCAGCATTTAATCGCACTTCCTTACAAGAAAATCGCAATGATGAAACGCACGAATAAAGCACGCCCGACAAAGCCTTTTTATTGCTTCCTTATCCTATCTGCCCTGCGGGGCGCACGCCGCAACAAGCCCGGCAGGACCAGGGCCTCAGCGAGAAAGGCGGGAGTAGGCATCGAGACAGGCGTTCTCCTAACGTGTCCGAGAGCCGCAGCGCCAAGCTCACCCG